CTGCCGGTTTGAATCCATCGTCTAGAATCATGTGCGTTTTCGGTGATTCTGCGAATCTTCTGTTGGCGACAGACGAAAAGAGGTGCTGCAGAGATATAACTCTCATATTCCATCCTGTCACATTGACCTGGACATAAGGGTGAAGTTGAACAGATTGGGCTGTTTTTTTGCCAGCGATTGTGGACCGAATTCTTACGTGAACTTCGGGGTTCCATGAAGGACACCTATATACGTGGTACACATCGTTATCTAGAGGTATGTGAGCAACCCGATAAAACAGACATCCTGTAAGCGGAAGACCTAGGCATCCACATATGATACCTCCGCATGTCTCGCTGCATTTAGAGTAGCCGGGATACACTTCTGCTTCACGCAGTTCGGGAACACTATCATTTGTTCGGAGATTGAAACACGTGTCCCCATGACAGGAACCCATGAACGGACATCTTTTTTCAGAGAATACTCTTGGTGATGTGTCTCTGGTATAGAAGAGCGTTTCTTTGTTGCAATTTTGACGTGTCTTCTCTACAGTTATGTTGAGGTTACCGATGGTTTGATTCCGGTATTTCAGGTACACGCATGCCTCTCTGTGGAGCTTGTTGAAGAGAAATTCTCGCTCATACTCGATCGTGCACATATTTGAATCGTTACAAATAAGCTCCGCGCTGTGACGCATATGTGTCTCCTGACAGGCGAGCGTGTCTGGAGGTATTGTTGTCAGAGCAAGTAGCGCAATCACAACGAACTGTGATGGTCGCATGTCCACAAGAGTGCGGAACTCTGGGCGCTGGTTGCGCGATTTCGGTGTGGATTGAGAGTCACCTTTCCGTAGTGCTTTCTTCACGGCCATGGACAACACGACGAGGAGTACTGCTGTTGCTACAATGCAGACTGCTGTGAGAATAGCTCCGAAGGGCCAGCAATGAGGATTTCCTAGCAACGAAAAAGTGAACATAGCTTTATCATCACAGAACTTGCTACGCGGACACATTTTGCTTTGGCGCGCATTGGTCCCAGTATGACTGTGAAGTGTCACGTTCACATGACTATGGTGAGCTGATGGGGGTAGTACAAAGGTGCTGGTATCATTGATGGTTCGGTTACGGCAG